ATTTCCTAGCTAGTGATGGGTTTTGGTTTTCCTTTCCAAAATCCAAATGATCACCAAAAGATATATAATAGTTGGATCCAAGTCTAAGGTTTAAAGTATCGATACTGGGCGTATCGGCCTGTATCGGTACTCTTATTTTGTTTTTTGTTTTTAATTTTTTTTGAATCTGGTTCAAGGGGCCCTACCCTTTGAACCATTTACYGACCTGAAATACCCCTTGTAGAGGCAATATCGAAAAGGCTCCAATATAATACGTATCAACTAATACGGACCGATACATATCAATACTTTAAACCTTGATTGGATCATCTATTCAAACTCTAATGGGATATTTTTTCTGACTTTTCAGAAACCGAGTTAAAACATACCTTGAAATTTTAAAATAAACTTAAATATACCTTTCATCTAGGAAAGTTCACATGTAAACTCATTTAAAACATTTTTAAAATCCAATTTTGTCCTTCTATCTCCTTTAATAGATTTTTTTTTTCTGTCAAATAAAAGATTCTTATTTCCTCGTCTTACAATAATCCTGAATGCATTATGCAAGAGAGATGTCAATGCTAATCCAAGTCAAGATACTCCCTTATCTTGGACATTCATGAATTTAATTGATTTGTGAGGTTTCAATTTGAGTATGCATGGATCATCATCTTTTATCTAAAATGTGTCACTACGAGAAATTGCTATCATCCACATGTTCTTGCACTTGTCCTTCCGAGACTCACATTTGAACTTAGAGCCAATACATCACTGAATTCTGTCTTTCAGTACTGTGCACCATTTTCCTGCTCTATATTTCTTGGATTTTAAAGAGAATTTTCTTTTTATGAGGTCCACTTCTACATCACTTTAGAACACTCATCAAGGAAAGCCACAAAAGCTTATGAGGTCCACCCACTAACAGATGAAACAGTCAATAAAAAAGTTTGGAAAAGCACGGACAGATTTAATACAGATTTCTGAATTTTATTACAGAGCTATAAACATTTAAAATATCAAAAACCCCATTTTATACATCAATGTCTATTCATGAATTAGCATCAATTTCGAACTAATACCTATCCTAACTATACTTTGGACCTAAAAATTTTAACCATAGACTGAACCATCATTCTCCCATAAAATTTATTTTCTATTTAATTCTTTTTAAAAATTTGAAAATATATAAAAGATAAAACAGTTAAATATTCTATGATTTTGTCGAAACTCTAATACAGAGACATTTTGCACTGTATATATGATTAAGTGGCCAAGTAGCCGACGGTTTGGATTGAACACATCATCCTGCAGAAATGTGACAGTTTGCCCAGGTAACTTTTTTATCCGGATACTATATATAAAATAGTAATACAAGTTTAGGAGGATTTAAGCTTTAAATGAGTTATATTAAGAATAGCCAGAAAGTCATTTTTTGGCTTAATAAAGTATAATGTGGTTTTTCAAGTTTTTTTCCAAGCATAGCTAAGTTTTTTATGTAGGGTATAGGCGATAATGACTGTTCAGCCCATCATTAGAATTCTTAGTCCCTCATCTCGGAATTGATGTCAATATACGGATAGGTATTGGTGTTTAGGGTGGGGATATTTAACATTTTGAATTATTTTACAGTGTAATTCAAAATTCTGCAGGGAGGTGCAGTGTATTTTTCCGTAAAATCAGAAGCCGTTGTGTAAAAGCCCTCCCAAAGAAGCACTTAAGCTTTGAATAAGTGCTACTTTCACCGACTTGCTTTGATGAAATTAATTAGCCTGTTTGGCTCATACAAGTGTATTTCTAGCTTTTCAGGGTTTTCACCAAACACTAGGGGTGAGCATTCAGTTTATACGGTTAAAAACCGAATTGAATAAAAACTGAACTAAAAAAATTAAAGCCAAACCGAAATAACCAAAACTGAAAATTTTGATTCGGTTTTCGGTTATTTCGGTTAAAATCAAATTTTAATAATATATACTTTATTATATATTATAACATATAATAGATATTATGTATAAAATATATATTATGAAATCAAAATTTACTATATTATATGTTACAGATTATATATTATATATTATATATTATATATTATATATTATATATTATATATAATAATAGAAATTCGGTTAACCAAATTTTTAATTCTAAAAATTGAATTAACTGAACCAATTTAACTAAAAATCGAAAAGACCAAACCGAACAAATCGAAACCAAAATTTTTGGTTTGGTTTTTCAGTTTTAACCGAATAGTGCTCACCCTTATCAAACACGGCTTCTAGCTTTCTGTGAGAGGCATACCTTGCAACACTTTGAAACTGATGTGTGAAAAACCTCCCAAACAGGCACTAAAAGAAGTTTCACCAAAAATCCATTTTTTAACTGAAAAATAGCTCACCGGGACTTTTTAGAATTTTCACCAATTATTACTTATAATCTGTTAGGGTGGGGTCCACCAAAGCCAAAAACAATTGCTTGAAATCCAAGGTTTTTAAAACCAGACCGGACAGGGTACCGTTTTGGGTCTGGTTCCTAGGTCGAATAATCCGACCGTTTGGTTCGAACAGATGGCTCACTTTGACAACAAAATAAAAAATTAAAAAATTAAAAAAAAAACCTAAATAAATGGCCAAAACTCGTTCCTAGGTCGAATGGTTCGACAGTTCGACTGCTCGGGGTTAGTGGTTTGCTCACTAGATCAACGGTTTTTGGCCAAATAGTGGTTTTGGGGTAAAATAGAACCAATCAGATAACTAATTCCTGATTTTCCAGTCCGATCCAGTTTTGAAAACATTGCTGAAATCTTTTCCAAAAGGTTAAGAAATTAACCCACATTGATAGCCTATATGCAGTGTTTGGTGAAAATTTTAGAAAGCCTAGTTTAGTTTTCTTTTAGCCTCCCAAATGGACCCTGATTAAATAACCTAATTATTAAGGAATGTAGTGTTTTCAAAACTAGATCGGACTGGACGGTCAGATTGGAAAATTTGGGAACTGGTCACTTGACCGGTTCAGTTTCACCCAAAACCACTTTTTAGCCAAAAGTATTGATTTAGTCAGCAAACTGCTGACTCAGGTGGTTGAACCATCAATCTGGATAATGATTTTTGACTATTATTTATTATATATTATTTTTTATTTATTTGTCAGAATGGACCATCTATTCAGTCCAAACAATCAAACCGTTCGACCCGAAAACCAAACCCCAGAACGATTCGTTATTCAGCCCGGTTTTAAAAACGTTTGAGCGAAGGTGTCTCCAAAGTGACTCAATCCACTGTTGTTAACAAGACTTCCAATACTCATAGTTGAAATATACATATATTCAAGTAGTATGGTGTGGTCTCGAGGACAATAAGTTAATAGTAGGCAGGGTTGGTAGAACGGTTCGAAAACATCAAATTGTATTGGTGCATTTGTGGACATTATAACTCTGGTATTTTGTTTTCTTTCTTATTACATCTTAAACCAGAAGAATTCATTAAACAAATCTACATCAAATTAAATTAATAAAAAAGAAAGAAAAAAAACTAAACCTAAGGAAATGAACAAAATATAGGTGAAAACCTGATAACCTAAGGAAAAGAGCAATTGATTGATCCCATTTATTAAGGTGAGAGAGAAAAGATGGAGGAGGAGATAGGTAGGAGCTCTATGGTATGGTGATAGGACCCTCGAAAGAATACGTGAATGTACATCCGTTGTTTTTTGTGTTGAACTGAAGTATTATTAATCTTGTGGCCGACCATATATGGGGGGTGCTCGGTTCTATCATGTCGTCGTCTTCAGCATGAAACATAACAATCACCCTGTACTGTACATAGTAGAATATCTGGAAATGGAATCCCTGTATATCCCATCCCTTTGCCTTGACCAACAACACTAAAAGACTAGCTACCTAGGAATAACTTGATGAACACGGGGTTTACGATTAATATTCCCCTCACCCGCACTATTTGATCATTTTTTATTTATTCGGCAAGGTTCGAAGGTATCCAGTCGATACATATCATATCCAGGGAGGCTCCCCGATAATATTTTAGGGTTCAACACAGGTCTTAAATCGATCTCTCTAAAACAATTTAAAAAACCAAACAAACCCCAATAAAAACATATCAGACTGCATCAATATCTTAAACCTTATTTCTAAATACTTCTTATGAGATACGGTAAACGTGTAAGGCCATTGTTATGGTCAATAACAATGAGCACTATAACATGCATGCAGCATGTTCCATCCAGTCCACATCCATAGATAATGGCCTGTCTGTCTGTCTGTCTGGTCATGACTCATGACTCAGTGGCTTTTGTTTTTACGTTAGTCATCAGAGCAGCCTGCCAGGGAGACAAACACTATCGTCTTTTCTTTAATTATATAATTGTTGAGGTGGACCTAACTGAACCTGAAAACCCACAATTTATCCGTGTGAACAAAACTACTTTTAGTCATCATTATTTGCACCCAACTTAGTATTGAATTTTTGAAAGCTTCTATTATCTTTCTTTCATCTTATTATTTGTCACTATTCTTTCCCTGATTTGACATTTAAATGATGGGTCTTGACTTCTCATAACATTTATACCTCAACTCCAAACAGGTCGTCTAGCTCCATATGTTTAACTATGTTCTTTTTTACTTTTTAATTTTCTTTTGAAAATTTTATTAATCTTAACAAGGCCTACCCCCAGTTATATTAAAATTTCAAAAAATATATATATATATATATATATATATATATATATATATCAGATGACTTGAAGATAACTTTTACAAATATTAACATATCAGATGACTCTTTAATAATAAACATATAAAATTCAAACCAAAATAATTAATATTGACTTTACATTAGTAGTATCGGATAGGATTGAGAATTTGAGATAGATTCATATTCGATCCGGTTAAACCGGAATGAATTTGAACCGCTTAACCGGATTTGATTCGTATTCCATTTCGACGCCGCATTGTTTGACACTGACTCTCTATATATACAGAGAGCCGGTCAACTCTCTTCCCGGAAATCCACATAAAAAGTCTTGGAATTAATTATAGGAGAATGGCCAAGCAACAATCGCGTCGACTCCTCCTACTATATTCATTCTACTGTTCAACACTTCAACCAAACGCGTTTTTGTTCGGGTTCGACCTCCTCCTCCTCTCTCTCCCTGCTCCCTATTCTACTTGGTGCCGCCCCGAGCCCAATCCGGACCAGTTTGGTCGGCCACCACGACTCTACCCTGCCACCCACGAAGGTTAATGTTAATGGGTCTCCAATCTCCTAAACTCGTTACCCTATCTTAACTTTCTCAATCTCAGTCAGTCTCATGGGTGTTTCTCATCACATTCACCTCCAATGAGATTTCTACTACTGCTTTCATGGCTTCTCACCCTCCATTCTCTCTCTATTTTCCTCGGGACCAGTAATTTATCCGTCTATGGCATATGCCTGGATGATCAGCGCTCCTCGTTGCTTCAATTGAACAGAAACCTTTCTTTCTCAACTCCTCTTCGTGCTAATGTTGCTTCAAAGCTTGCCTCTTGGGATGCAAGCATCGATTGCTGTCAGTGGGGCGGTGTCACCTGCGATGAAGAGACCGGACATGTCATCTCTCTCGACCTTAGCAGCGAATTCATTTCCAGTGGAATTGATAATTCCAGCAGTCTATTTGAACTTGCATATCTCCAGAGCTTGAATTTGGCATACAACGCCTTCAATAATGTTCGGATTCCGTCTGGGTTTGGCAGGCTCCTTAATTTGACTCATCTCAATCTCTCCAACTCGGGCTTCGCAGGTCAAATTCCAATCGACTTCTTACAACTGACGAGGTTGGTTTCTCTTGATCTCTCCACATTATTCACCGGAGGCACATCTTTGAAACTTGAAAATCCAGATCTCAGAGCGCTTGTCCACAACCTTACAAGGTTGACAACTCTCCGTCTCGATGGAGTAAACATTTCGGCACAGGGACCCGAATGGTGCCAAGCCTTATCATCTGCACTTCCAAACCTGCAAGTGCTGAGCTTGTCTAATTGCCATATTTCAGGGCCTCTGGATTGTTCCCTTACGGGTCTTACTTCTCTCGCTGACATTCGTCTCGACCTGAATAGTATCTCTAGTAATATACCGGAGTGCTTTGCAAATTTCATGAATTTGACCTCCCTGCGCCTCACTTCTTGTGGGTTGACTGGGGAATTCCCGCAGCAGATTTTCCGACTACCGAAATTGCAGTCCCTCGATGTATCACTCAACCAGAATCTCAGTGTTTCTTTGCCGCCGGAATTACCCAACTATGGATCCCTTCGGAGCTTGGTGCTTTCCAACACAAAATTCAGCGGTAAGTTACCGGATTCCATTGGCAATCTCAGGTTGTTGTCCAATTTACAGATTGTGAGTAGCAGTTTGTATGGATCAATTCCGTCTTCATTGATCAAACTTGCCCAACTTGTTTCTTTGGACATGTCGTCTAATTACTTGAACGGATCAATTCCATCGTTGGGTTCGCTTGAGAATCTCACCCAAATAAACCTTTCCAACAATCGTTTGGCAGGTCCTATTTCCTCCATTCAGTGGGACAGACTTGGAAAACTTGTTAATCTTGACTTGCGAAACAATTCGCTCAGTGGAAGAATTCCATATTCACTCTTTGCCCTCCCATCACTAAGGAAGTTACAGCTCTCCCACAATCAACTTGTTGGTCGACTCGACGAATCTTCCAATGGATATTTGGCTCCCTTAGATACCCTGGATCTCAGTAGCAATAAGTTGGAAGGGCCGGTTCCCAAATCAATTTTTGGACTCCAGCGTCTTAGTATCCTCACCTTATCTTCCAACAATTTCAATGGCACGATGCAACTCGAAATGATTCAGAATCTAAAGAACCTTACAAGCCTTGATCTTTCCTATAACAGATTGTTAGTCGAGACTAGTGTTGATAATTCTACCTCGACGTCGTTCTCTAATTACCCCCGGATTACAACGTTAAAGTTGGCCTCCTGCAACCTGACAGAATTCCCCGAATTCCTGAAAACAAATAAATCAACATTGACCTTTCTAGATCTTTCTAATAACCGAATTCGCGGGGTTGTGCCTTCTTGGATTTGGAATATAAGCGATAGATCTCTTGCTTATCTAAATCTTTCTTTCAACATGTTGGAGCATCTGCAGCGACCGTTGCCCGACCTTACTTCTAGTTCGTTGGCCACCATTGACCTTCATTCCAACCAGCTCCAAGGGCCAATTCCAACTCTTTCAACACCATCTGCCATCTATTTGGATTACTCAAACAACAGCTTTAACTCCACAATCCCCGTTAATATTTCTTTGTGCTTAAACTTCACCATTTTCTTCTCTCTTTCAAGCAATAAACTTACGGGAGAAATACCTGCGTCCATATGCAACGCTAGTTATCTCCAAGTCCTTGATTTGTCTGATAACAATTTGAGCGGCAGGGTTCCTTCTTGTTTGGCTCATTTAACCAGTGGGGCACTGAGGGTACTGAATCTGGGACAGAATAAACTTAATGCAAGTATACCTGAACAATTTCCTGTTGGATGTGGCCTGAGGACGTTGGATCTCAATGGGAACAGATTGGAAGGACAGGTACCACAAACTCTTGGGAATTGCAAAATGCTGGAGGTTTTAGACCTTGGGGACAACGAGATCAATGACACGTTTCCCATTTGGTTGGGGAACATGACCCAGTTGCGGGTCCTGGTTCTACGATCCAACAGATTCCATGGGCACATCATGGAAAATTCAGCATGTAATGACATCTTCCGGGTGCTGCAGATCATTGATCTGTCTTCTAATAATTTTACAGGTGCTCTGCCCGTGCAATGCTTTAGATGCTGGCATGGGATGATGGTCGATGATAAGGATGGGAAGAGTGCAACATTGAAATTCAAGTTTTTTGATTTCAACAATCAAGTGTACTATCAGGATACTGTGAATGTTACCAGTAAAGGTCTAGAAGTGCAATTGGCGAAAATCCTAACCATCTACACTTCTATTGATTTGTCAAACAATAGATTCGATGGGAACATTCCTCCAGTGATTGGAAACCTCACTGCACTCCGCCTGCTCAACTTATCACACAATGCTTTCACAGGTGAAATTCCATCCTCTTTGGGGAATTTAGCGCAGCTGGAGTCGTTAGATCTCTCTCATAACCATCTGAATGGGAATATCCCTGTGCAGTTGGTAGGCTTAAATTTTCTTGCAATCTTCAATTTGTCGTGGAACAATCTTATGGGCATGATACCCAGCAGCAATCAGTTCCAGACCTTCTCCAATGATTCTTACCAGGGAAACGAAGGATTATGCGGGCCCCCTTTGTCGAAAAAATGCCAAGATTCAACAATTCCTCAGTCACTGATGTCTGAGGCTGTATTTGATTGGAAATTCATACTGACTGGATTGGGCTTCGGAGGAGGAGCAGGACTGGTAATTGGACCGTTAATGTTTTGGAAGAAAGGGAGGAAGTGGTTTGACCAACACATTGATAGAGTCATTCTCATGATTTTACCTTCAGCAGGATTACTTTGCAACATGTGTGATGTTGAGAGAATCGAGGCAGAAGAGACGATAGAAATGGAGCTTACAGAGATGGCAGGGGACTTTGATGACGACGATGAAGAAGAGAAAGAATGTCGGAGACGGTACTGTGTGTTCTGTTCTAAACTAGACATCAGTCTGACCAAGGTCATCCACAATCCCAATTGCTCCTGCCATACCCATAATATCTTATCACAAAGTTCTCTGTAAATCCGAATTTGCCAAACCCTGGAATTGGATTTTGAGCGTATCCTTTTTTTTTCTTCTGGTATTGTATATAAACACAAAAMTGAGCGCCCCATGAGAGAGTTGGGGTGAGGAAACAACTTGGAGCCCTATATGTATTAGTTTCTGTAATTATCTTTACAAAGTATACAAACTCTGCTCTGCATAATTTATGAATCCCTTGTTGAAGGATATAGTTGTAATATGTATAACATGACAAATTGACGTAGCGCGATGGGGTCATTCCTTGCTGGAAGGCAGGCAGCTCGGATGTCGGCAGTTTGGATGTCGGTCTGCTACGTGGCCGAGTTAAACTATAAAAACTGTAAAAAAGTAGAATCAGATGTCGCAGGGTATTTTATTCAGTGTGGGTATTTCGATGCTTAAGTTAGCGAAGAGTTTTTATGGAGAACTTGATTGTTTTTAATGTTATTAAGAGAGTTAAATCGCACGTACCTTGTGAGGCTGGAGGCGATGCCCTTATATAGATAAACTGGCGTGAGCCTCACAAAACGTGTCCAAGATCACCAGGCCACATAACTTGGAGTCCGTTCTGCACCTGAAGATGGACTCCGTATAAGCTGATAAGGCTTATCCGGGTCCCTCCGATCCAGGCAGGATAAGGATAAGATCCATTGATGCACGACTTGATCCCAAAGAGATCAGAAACAACTGGCTCGTATCTAGAAGGAGATTACGTGGTGCTTCAATAGGTCAGTGTATGATGAGATGCTCGAGCCTCGGTCTTAACTAAATGACCCGAGGTACCAAGATAACTTGGACTGCTGAGGTGTTACAAAGTCAATAGGTTGCTCTACGTGTCATCATATCACAAGCCGGGCCAAATTATCTCTCATCACAAACAACCCAAGAGAATAAAACACCGATATGAACAGTAGTAAATCAATGCCAAGAAATATAGTAAATTGAAATGCAGATATGTTAACAGAGAGAACAGAAAATGTAGCAAAATAAACCAGAGAAACCAAACCGTTTATGTTACCACGTGATAATGTAGCTACCAACAAATAAGCATCCTTTGCAAGAAATTGTGAAATTAAATCTGCAGAGAAAGTAAGAAGAAAACGAATTGCGTTTAAGCTGAGACATGACAAATACCACTCTCCTACAAAGAAATGAGCCCCCGATGGTTGGTTTGATGTATAAACTCACCCGAAACAACAGCGAACCTATATACCATACCATATGTACACCTACAGGCTACAGCGCACACATCAAGGAAGAGGAAATATGTAGTAATATAGGTAAAGAGCAGAACGTTGAACAACGGTTTTCTTCTCTGTGACTGTTGTGCTCCTGTAAAATCCAAGCTAGCTCTCTTCTATTAACCTATCCTCAAAACCTCTCTTAAGAAATTGGGAGAAAAACAATGAGGGTCCGTTTGGTTTGCAGTCAGAAATGGAATCGGAATGGTCCATTTTCATAATCTATTTAGTTCAGACAGGAATTAAAATCAGTAGGAATGGGATTTTATTTTCAAGGGAGAGACAAGGAATGGCCATTCCCTTAAATGGGGGAATGTCATTCCTGCAGGAATGGGAATAGGATTTCAATTCCTCCCAGCCAAACAGTTGAAATCAGAATAATACATTCCGATTCTGATTCCAAACCCCTATTCCTGCAAATCAAACGGAACCTTAAAAGGCTCAGTTTGAAAGGAGTACAAGTACAAATATGTAAAACGCAAAATCTTATATTTTGTATGTATTTATAATCTTTCCAAACTGAGCCTACAACAAAAAATGAAAATTAGTTCAAGACTACCTTCACATCACGATACAATACAGCAGGCGGGTACTCTAATTTTGTTAGCTCAGCTCAGCAGCATAGCTCCATACACACCTTTATTTTATTTCCAGTTCACACTGTCTGTAAGATATATGGTAACTAATAATGAGGTCAAATGGAATTTCTTTCCTAGTCCACCTGGAATTGTGCAATACTTTCAACACGTCAAATGAAGATATAACAATGAAAAAAAAAATACTCTGCATTTTGTCAAGAAACAGAATATTTAGCAGAAATAAAGAATGCTTTGAAAAGCATCAACAAACCATAGTTTTTAAAAGCGATCCGGAGACCGAACCAGGTCGAACAGTATGACTGTTTGATTCAAATGATTAACTGCGCGGGTCAGTGGTTTGCTAACTAAAATAAACGGTTTTTATAAAAAATTCAATTTTGGGGAAAACTAGAACCGATCACCTGATCGATTTCCGATTTTTTTGGTCCGACCATCTAGTCCGGTCGATTTTAAAAACCATGCAACAAACAAACAAAACACCAAATTCTGTAAAAAGTGAGAGAARCATATTCAGTGACTCCTTCCATTATTGAGTATTGACAAAGAGACGCGGATAGGAAAGAATCCAAAGCCTCGGCTTACTTTGACAATAATCCCATGTTAGAATTGAAGTTTCAGCTGATGCTTCCTGCCAGGCATACAATTCTCCCCTAGAGATGGTGTCAATGCACTGGTTTTGGGCTGAACTCCATCCGAATTAAAATCAATTCGAATGGAATGGATGGACCAAAAAGACATATTGAGTTGGATCCATTCAGAGATTTAATGGTCTAAAATATTTATTGGATTGGAGTCAACCTGATTCATCCGTAATGTATTTATGTTGGATTGTGCCAGATTGAACCATTATCTGGGCCTTGATAGAAGATAAGAATACAGGTGTCAATATACCAGGTTTGGATTGCAACAAATCTAAATGAAAAGGATTGATTTGAATTGATTGGATGGGTCGGATATTAAATTGGACTGGCCCAAAATGGTCCAAACTATTTACCAAAGTGGATCCATTTGTAATGGATTCATATGGATCAGATTGAATTGGTCCAAATTCGGTCCAATTGACACTTCCTACGGCCCTACCTAGAGAGTAGAGAGTGCGGAACTGGCTTAAATTCACTTCCAAACCATGCAGCCTCATGCACACACATGCAAGACATGATATTTAATTATTTTTCACATTTTGTCTTGTTGGGTCCATGCAGAAACAGAATGCAATGCAAGTGTTTGAAACGAGACTAAATCAGCCCCTCACAAGATTGCCCCCCACAATGTCCCACAACACATCCCTGTCGTGTATTGGGAACATCTCCTGATGATAATCCCATAAATGATGATGTCATCATCGGGAGATGTTTCCAATACATAGCGGAGATGTGTTGTGGGACGTTGTGGGGGGCAATCTTGTGGGGGGCTGATTTGAACTCATTTGAAACACCAACACCCATGAAACCCTAAACAGAATACCTAAATTAAGGTGGTGTTTGGTATGGTTTGCGATTATGAAATAAATGGTGCCATGTCATCGCAAAATCAGCATTTGTCCCATCATAGGGTTTTGTATGCATAATTGTGCATAACTTTTGGTCTTGATTTACATGTATATCAACCATTGGGTGAATTTTCATTTTAACGCTTCCCCCAATAGCTAAGCATTTTTTAATGTTTCACTAAGGTGGCGCCTAGTGATGCTTAATTGCCAACAAATTATAAGAGAGCGTTTGTCAAGTATTGGTTCTCAGTTTTGAAAAATAAAATACAGACACTTATTTAATAATCGGAAGCCAAGCCAAACATATAGGGGTGAGCATTATTCAGTTAAAATTGAAGAACCAAAAATTTCGGTTTTTGTTTTTTAATTTGGATTTTTTGATTTTTGGGTAATTTGGTTCGGTTAGTTYGATTTTTAGGAATTTGGGTTTTTGGTATCAGTTTTTATAGTTAGAAATTCAATTAATTGAAAAAACTGAATTAACTGAAATTCATTATATAATATGTAATATATAATATATAATATGCTATATATTTATATATTAATATATTATATATAATGTATTAGAATGAAATTCAATTTCATAATATATAATATTTTTATATATTAATTAAATTTGGTTTTTAACCAAAAATTTCAATTCTGGTTATTTCAGCTTTCTTGTAATTCAGTTTTAGTTCAATTTTCATCTTTTTTTATTTCAAATTTTAAATTTCGATTTATTCAATTCAGTTTTTAACCGAATAAATCAAATGCTCACCCTACAAACATACAAGTTAAATAACATCAAGTGGTCAGCTGCCGCGGATTAGGTTCCGCGTAAACCACTTTTCCTTCCCTGCAACCCCCTTTCTAATTAATTTATGAATTAGGTGTGGGACTATAATAGATTAGTGGCATCGTCAAACAAATGGGTCTCATTTTTTCCATAAATTGGCTATTTTGACGAATGGTTCTTCTCAGCTTTGGTTTGGGTACATCTTAGATCTTACATGGAGGTGTTTTGTCCAAATCAGAAATCACACTAACATACAAAATTGGCGCAATGTTTTCCCGTTTTCCCTGTTCTTTCTAGTTTTTTTCCTTTTTTTAATTTCAGAAATTATTACATACTTCATAAAAGAAAAATAAAGCCTCTATCAGCAATTCTTTGTTTTTTGAAGAAAAAAAAAAAAAAAAACTTGTACCAAGAATCACTATCTTATTTTTCAATGTTGGACAAGTCATAATCAAACCGATTACATTTGAGGCAGATTATATATTCATTTCAACAAGAACCTCTCCAATAGTTTTGAAAAATCCTGGCATTACCTCCATTCCATCATTTGTCCCATCCCAAAAACGTTGGTCTAAATATATGAAAATTTCAGTCAAACATGTCATAAATGCCCACCCGCATTGCCCCCTGATTGAATTAGCCACTGTTATTAGAAGCCCGGATCTCCTACAAATCCTGTCGCCCAACGTTGGGAGTGCAAGTTGTATTGGTTAAAAGAAACCCAACAATGTTGGGCTTGAATTCCACGGGATTCAGTTTCACCGCTAGTAGCAAAATATAAGGATCTCAGTAGAGCTTAGTGAGGCGTGTGGGTAGATGTAGATCCGAACTCCTCAGTGAATGTGGTTAAACGCTATCACCATCGTCTTACATTTGGGTCAAGTTTTGGTCCGTTATAGGGTTGCATTTACTTAATTAAAAAATTTTAAATTATCTAAGTGAGTCTTTTTTTTCGATAAAAACCATTCTGTGGTTTTTCAAAACAACAATAGCACAGCCATATCAAGAATGTATTGGAGTAGACGAGAAAACCTAAAATCTTCCTCTAAATTCCAAACACCCCCCAACTCCACTCACAAACCTTTAGCAGCATGGTAGGTTGCACTTGATTACAATCTAAAATGTAAATGCGATATTATTTTATCACTTAATTACATTACACGTAAACTTGTATTGTCAAACAACTTAAAAGAGGGAAGATAGTGACTGAGATGTGACTTTTCAGTCATACTACGTATATGATTACAACCTGAAATTAAATGATTTCATTGTGGTTTACCTGTAAAAGTTAGAGCAGAAGTTCATATCTAGAATGAATCCATTACACCAGATAATAAAATATTAGGACGAAGTCAGCTTATGTTGTCAGTTCCACCTCAGACAGCTAACAAAAATGGAAACTAAGAAAACGTAAAGGGATGAATTGCAATTTACGCTTCAACTGGTGGAATTTCTTGTTGACTGAATTTATTAAGACTCTCAAATGGAGACAACTCTTGTAAAAGACGAGAAACACAGTATTCCTATTTTTTTTTTCTCCGAAAGAAACGGGCCTTTACAAAAATATTCTATATTTGTTATATCAAGAAGCTTATCCATACAAATGGTGGTGGACTAATGGATGTTCCAAGCAATTGGGCTTGTAAATGCGTGATACACGTATAGAGGGTAGTCCAATCATGTGATTTGGACAATATGAGAGAAAATTGGAAGCCTCAAACTTGGCCCAGACCCAGAGGATTGAATATTTCATGCTTGTGTAATTCATAGGCCAGGCCAGTTGGGACTTGGGAGATACGCAACTGACTTGGCTTGAGGCCTTGAAGCTTGAAGGCGTAAAAAAATAATGAAAAAAAAAAAAAAACTCTTTAAACCAATTAAGTCAGTCCCCTGCCCAAAAAAGAAATAAAATAAAGCCAGCCCACCATCGTTCCAAAGCTGATCAAAGTAAATTGATACGTTAATAAGAAGCCGTTGCGTAGGTACAAATCTTCCTGGGTCCAATTGACTTAAATATTAAGAAATTGAATTTAAAAAAATAACGACCTAAATTAAAACAACCTGCATGCTTGCTGGTCCCGGCGGGGCTCGAACCCGCGACCTTCGGCTCATAAGACCAACGCTCTAACCAACTGAGCTACGGGACCAACACGCACCGTTYACCTTCTTTCTCTTATATATAGGTTTAGTGGTTCAGCTCCGGTTCCTCTTTACATCGGAAATCAAAATGTGGATACATCCGTAACTTAACCATGATCACAGATGTAAGCTGTTTGATACAATAGTCTATTATTCCTCACAAGCTTTGGAGTTTCGACGCGTTCCATGGTACTCATCGATCCAAGTCTTAGACACAAAATAAAAAATTAAAAAAAAGGCAGATCATCACTTGGCAAAATAAAGAGTAAGCTAGCACCTTATCATAGAAGTAATTATCCGCACGAACAACTTAACAAGCTGATTCTGATTTACAAATGCGGCTTTCACACGTACAAGTACAAACGATGGGGGGTTGAGGTGAGAGAGAGAGAGAGAGAGAGAG